GATATTGATATAGATATAGAAGCTGCAAATGCTGAATGGCAGCTCCTACCAGATATTAATTTAGTGACGACAGTTAATTTTAGTGACGATATTAGTATTAATGAGTTTTGGAGCAAAATAAATAATTTTAGATCCAATGACGAAACTGTTATGTTTGAAAATTTAATGAAAATAGTAAAGATTATTTTAGCTTTACGTCATTTATCGGCAACTGCGGAATGGGTATTTTCTCAGTTAGCTTTGATAAAAACAACTCTGCGAAACAGGTTGCTTGTCATAACGCACGGTAGCATCAATTTTACATGTTAAAGATAAAATGAAATGGATTCCAAATGGGTTCAGAGTCTATAAACCGGATATTAAGATGGTGACATACAATTCAAAAACTATCTAGGATCGAAAGAATTAACCTCAATACACATCGTGGACGCCACAACAAATGTAAAAACAACTATACAGATCAGAGGATGGACATACAGGCACCAAATCTACAGGATTATGTGATGAGTTTGCAAGAAATTAGCATCTTCCCTTAACAGAAGTATCTTTCTTTTAAAAATTCCGATCGCAAGGGTTAGCCCCAAGACGCATCGTGGACGCCACAACAAATGTAAAAACAATTATACAGAAGTAGTATAGCTATGGGATACTGATCTCCACTTTTACCGATGGCATGTTTTCCACCGTGCATCGATCCACATGAGCCGAAGAAGCAATGACCTTGATTAATTTTGAAGGTTACCTCAAAGGAAATAATGTTTGTGTGTGGGTAGTCCCTTGTAAATTCTCCCACTGGAGGCTGCTGAAAAGGGCCCAATGTAATTGTTGAGGGTTGGTGGTGGGTAGGTTTTTATGGTAAGAGAGGGTACTGCAAATGCTGCTTGCCAGATCTAAATTATAGATTTAGGGAGCTCTGTATTACATGCCATGTTATAAGAGTTACATAGGTTGGGATGTTATAGACGAGAAATTCTTGAAATTTAAAAATTGTTAAAGCAGTGTGTGATAACGTTTAAAAGGTTAAAGGTTATCAATAAGAATATTGCAGGCGATGATGCAATCAATAATAATACTAATTTTATCTTTTTTATATTATCTTGATCTATTTTTTTTTCTGTAATAGTATATATATAAATGTAAATTTTGAGATTTATATTTAGTTGTTGCCGAATCGTTAGAGAAAAAGAAAGTATAAGTAAAGAAAAAAAAATGTTTGCAAGAATTTTACCAATTGTTATTGTTGCTACAGTTAATTTATCAACTTTAGTACCATTAGACGGTGGTGAATGTGTGAGAAATGTAAAAGTTGGGAATGAAGATATATGTGTGGTAGAAAATGGAACATTTTATTTATTTGAACGATATGAAGATAAAGTTATATTACAAGAGTATCCTGCTTTCTATTCGGATAAGAAAATTCCTCTCAATACACCTATTGAAAATTCAAATGGTGGTTATATAGGTCAGGTTATAGGAGAATATCAAAATTATTATCCAATTGCTCCACAAGAATTTAATAAAATGTACTGTGGAAGATTCAATTTGACTAGTTTAGTTGAAGATCGACCTATAGTTTTCCAAAAGAGAGAATTTAAATCAGTTAATGATTTTAATGCAAACATTACACTACCCTTGGATCCATTTTGTTTCATCTACATGTAATTCCCCACTACATTTAAGTATATATATATATTTAATAAGAAGCACTAAAGATTGAAAATGTATATATCATATATCTGCTGCGGATGTTGGAGAAACATATACCACATAGACTTTGTTCATTTACCACAATTGGAGACTACTTCACCTCGAAAATCACGTATGATATATTGTGAAAAGTGTAGACGTTGGACTATATGGTTATTAATAGAGGAATAGAAGATATGGATCCAAAGCATGATATAATTACATTTTTTTGTGTCTATTGCAATTGTAAAATTATAAAAATTAGAGATAAACCTAAAATGTTAAAATGTTGTAGGAAATGTTTTGTTTATTATGTTTGTGGTATAAATAGTTTAAGAGGAATGCTTGAAGAGTGTATAGGTAGTAAATAAAAATGATATGTACTCATAAAATATGTTTTATTTATGCAATATTATCCTTAGCTATCCAACTATTATGCTTATTATCAAAACCTAACCATTTTACAAAAACTTTTTTACCCTTTCGTTTTAACACTTTTTCAACTAAATAAATGTCTGAATATTTCACTTTTTGAAGCTGAAGTTCATAAAATCCTCCTTTAATATCTTGATTATTTTCATCTTGTAGCAAGTATGTAACTGGATTGGTAAGTTGCACTTTTTTAATAGTAAATATTTCAGTTGACCAATTAGGTTTATACTGTTTATCAAATGCTCCTCGAAATTTGGATATGCGTACATAATCACCCATTTGATATTTTGGTTTAGTAGTCATTTTTATCCTATTGAATACAGTTTTTAAGAGAAGTTTTTCATGTTTCTTTTTTACTTCTGCCGGTTTCATTCCAATTGTTCGATGTTTTCTATTGTTGTATGCATTTACAACACCTTTTATCAAATTTAACCATTTGTATGTCCCTTGCATATTAAATTCTTTCCACATCATACCTTTCAGTGTTCTATTAACTCGTTCAACAATTGAAGCCTTTTTTTCACTATATACTACATAGTGGGCAACATTATACTTTTTCATCAATGCTTGAACCTCTTTGCCGGTAAATTCACCACCTGAATCTGTACAGAGATGTATTGGTGTTTGAATTTTGAAAACATTTTCAAGATTTTCAGCCACTTCTTTTGCAGTTTTCGATTTTAAGGGAAATGTCCATACATACTTAGAAAAACAATTAATTACCACTAAAATATATTTGTATCCTTGGTTTTCCTTTTCATATTCCCTCATATCCACTAAATCAGCTTGCATTAGATCTAATAAAGATTTAACAATAACTTTTCTACGCTTAAAATTAATTCTTGCCGGTTTATGTATTTCATTAACAATTTGTCTTTTTGCTTCAGTAGCAAACATGTTATTCAATAATATCTGCCTCTCGTAGTTCTTCTACAATTGAAACAATTTCATTTCCAACACCTGTATTGCCTGCTGATTCAGAAGCCAGTAACAATTGTAATCTTGTTACCAATTCATTAGGATCATCCCAGTAAACGTAATCAATTGAATTATCTGAAACTGTCATACTCATTCCATTGCCTATTGTTTCTTTATCATCATCATCATCATTATCACTATAATCTTTGCTATTTAATCGATCCATCATAAACGGTTCAACAATCTTTTTAAATTTAGTATTATTGCTTGTAATAGTTGTTAAGCTTGGATTAAAATGCTTCTTAATAGCATGCGTTTTGAATAGAATCTGAGAATAATTTTTAGCATCGTCTTTAGTATAAACCTTTGGCACATTCTGATTAAAAAGTAAACCGTAAAGTCCCTTAGTGCCTTTTATTTTTTTACCAGCAATTATTAAATCAGGACCATCAAAATCAATTCTTTTACTACCAATTGAAAACTTTTCTATAACCTTATCATATTTAACTCTAAATTTACCATCAGATTTGTTACTATTTGGATCGTTTATAAATTTTTTTATATATTTTTGTGGTAAAGAATGATACTGATCATAATAATCGGTTAATGATTTGTCTCTTATTGTCTTATTTAATTCTTTTTCATATTCCTGTTGTTTTAGCTTTTCTTCTTCATATAAATCTTGCTGTACACCTTTTACTATTAATTTTCGTAAATTGTAGTCAGTAATCTTCAGAAAATCACCTTTCTTCTACACGTGCACACTTATAGATGTATCCCTGATTCCTTGGAGTACCCTTTGGTGTGATGATGGTAGGGACTGGTCTGAAACTATAGATTTTCTCATCAACACCATACTCACTCAAGCAGAATAATCTTCTTCGTCTTCATCACTTTTCCTGTTTATCAAATTCTAATATATTTTCATGTTTGATATATTAATAGGTAGAGACTAGTCAGAAGTGGCTCTCTTTGGATTGAAACAGGCTCCAGTCATCACTTCAATTTGTTGCAGATGTTTTGTTCATGGGTTGAAACATATCAAATGAACAGTTTGGCCAAGGTTTTAAAATATTTATTTTTTTACGAATATCTTTCCTATTAATTTTCACTTTGTTTAACAGATTTTTCTTGTTTTTGAGACATCATAATCATCTTGATTCAACGATTTGTGCTATAATAATATTTAAAACTTAATTAAATGTATATATAACTATCAAAACAGTAACGATAACGCCCACTATTAATGTTGTTATCTTTGAAAATTGATAGAAAACCAAAAGGTTCTCTCCTCCAACAGTAACCACATATACGTTTAAAGTTTTCAAAAGACATATCAGTGCCTACATGATCTGTATAGATATGCTTAAGATTTAAATCATCTTGTTTGAAAATAATTAACAAATTAACGTTATCTCTTATCAAATGTTTCGGAATTTTTGTATACGTCTGACATAAGTAAAAACAATCAATATTGTTGTGTCGTCCCATACTAAAATATTCTCTTATTATGTTTTGATTATCACAGGCAACATCATCAAATATAAATACTGAATTTGGTTTCGCTTCAGATGGTGCAATTATTTTATCACTACTATTGTAAGCATAATATCCTATTCCTTTAATTGGTTTCAAAAGATTCTCCAAGTAGACATATTTAGGTTGATATAAGGATTTTGAATAGAGATATACATTCTCAAATTTCAAACCATTAGGGTGTTCCAAGAGGCTAATCATTGTGTTGGTTTTACCACAATTGGATGGTCCTGTTATAGCACATCGCATAGTTGAAGGAAATAGAATGCTATGTTTCAAAGGTTCATTTGTTGCACTATCATGATTATCAATCTTTAAAGTAGTTTTTTGTTTAACAACCTTCTTCATGTTAACAAAGTTTACTAAAAAATGGATATAAAAATTGTTCATTATATAATTTATACTTAGTGTTAGATTAGAAATCAGTCATGAAATATTATACAAAGCAGCAACATACTGGTAGTGGTGTTATAAACACTTTAATAAACAAATTACCATTTGAATTACATTTACCAGGTTATAATTATTGTGGACCAGGAACTAAATTGAGTAAACGTTTAGAACGCGGTGACAAAGGTGTTAACATGTTAGATGAGGCGTGTAAAGAACATGATATAGCATATTCAGAGAGAAAAAATGTATCTGATCGTCATGAGGCTGATAAAACATTACTTAAAGCAGCTCTAAGTAGAACTACTTCAAACGATGCTTCATGGAAAGAAAAACTAGCAGCATTAGGTGTTTCAGCTGCAATGCACACCAAGTTAAAGTTGGGTATGGGATTGAATAAATTGACACATAAAAATAAAATTTGTTCATTCAAATCTGAACATCAACAGAGTTCAAAGATAATAGAGCAAATTATAAAATCTATGCAAGTTTATTTGAGAAAAATGGAACTATTGAAAGATAAACATAGAAAATTGCTACAGCAAAATTCTAAAAATACAATTACAAAAAAACAAAGTAAACAAAAGAAAATAGTTCGAGTTAAATTAGATAGAAGTAAAAATCAAAAATTTAAAGTAAAAAAGAGTAAGTGGTATGATAATGATGATAACGATGATGATTTAAATAAATCACAAAACCAAGAGCTTCACATTGATAATTATGAAAAGAAAATTCAACATAAAATTAAGGGAAACGATAATGTACAAAGTAAACAAAAATATGAAGAAGCGTTGACTGAAATCAATAAAAAGGGTAAAAAACGTAGAATTTCTGATAATGATGATGATCATGATATAAACAGACGTAAACCTAAAATTCAAAATGAAAATGTATCTACTCTATTATTACAAGGTTCTAAACGAAAACTAAATGATGCTGATAATGATACTAAGAAAAATATTAATAAAAAAGCAAAAATAATTAGTTTAAAGCGTACTTATGATGCAGAAGTTCATGATAATGATGATGATGATGAGAATAATTATGTAAAAAGAACTAAATATATATAAGATGCTACAAATCTATTGATTAACTAATTGAAAAAAATAAATAAACAAGACAAGACAAAGTCAATGAAGAGCAAAACAATACAAAAACCGAAAAGTAAGAAGGTTATAAAAAGGGGGAGGCAAAAGAAAATAAAAAATGGTAAACTCTTTCAATCGGTAACGAGAGCAATTAAAAAGGCTATAATTGAAACAAGAACCAAAAACCTTAAAAGTGCATTAAAAATAGGAGTAAAAACAGGTACCTGCTAGAAATTAAATTTTGGAAATATTATCAAGACACCACGTGTTATAAAAATTCCTAAAACTGGAGGCAGTATTCTACCATTAATACCTACACTTTTATTGGTCTTAGTGCATTAGGTGCTCTAAGTGGTGGAATCGCAAATGTTGTAAAGCTGTAAAAGAAAACAAGTACAAAAGAACAACTCAATGAAGCCCAACGTCAAAAAACAAAACCATTGATGTATTTAAACCATACAAGACAGGATTAGGCTTTTGCCACCGAGGTTTCAAACCAACCCCACATTACCTAAACATGCTCTTAATTAATTTGAAATTAAATTTCAACATATGCTAAAAAATTAAAAGTGTTACATTTTCGAGGTGTTTTTATGAAGGATTGTCTGCCAAGAAAAATTCATAAGTTTGAATCAGGAATAGTTAATCTTGATAATATGTCGGGAGCTGGAACGCATTGGACTGCATATCGAAAAATAAATATGAATATTTACTATTTTGATAGCTATGGTAATTTAACTCCTCCGCTAGAACTTGTAAAATATTTTAAATCCAATGGACTTTGTAACATATTTTATAACCATACACCTTATCAAACTTTTAATACTGTAAATTGTGGTCATTTATGTTTAAAATTTCTAATAAATAGTTACACTTAGATACTGTGAGTTTTATTATTTTTTCAACCTTCAACAATGTCATACACGTTTACTTTATCAGGCAAAGAATCCACACTTTCAGCTAGAATATATCCTCCTATTGTTCTCAGTGAAAATGATGAATACGTGTTGGGCTTAATTAATTTTGAAAGTTACAATTCTATTCCGAATATTGACAGTACTAATAATATTTTTTATTATGATAAAACTAAGAAGATTGTTTTGCCAGAAGGATCTTATGAAATTCAAGATATAAATCGATATTTGCAAGAGTGGTTTAAGCAGCATTCAAAAGAAGAGCAAGTGGATATTTCTATAGAGGCAAATCATAATACATTACAATGTGAACTTAAATGTAATAAATCTGTTGATTTTTCAAAGGAAAACTCTATTGGAAGTCTATTAGGTTTTAGTAATCAAATATTAAAAGAGAACCAGATACACATATCAAAGAACCCTGTTGATATTTTTAAAGTGAATTGCATAGCGATAGAATGTAATCTTGTAACAAATTCATATAACAATGGAAAGCCAGTTCATATCATTCATATGTTTTATCCTACCACCGCTCCAGGATTTAAAATCGTTGAAAAACCATCAAATGTAATATATTTACCAATCAGCATGCGCTATGTTGATGAAATTATACTTAAAATAACAGATCAAGATGGAAGACTAATCAATTTTAGAAACGAGCTGGTAACGGTACGTTTACATCTAAAGAAACATAATGGTATTTATCTATAATAATGATTCTTATACACCGTCCAATGAACTGTATATAAAACAAAAGAGTTTTCAGAGACGGTTCAGTAGTAAGAAACAGTTAAAAGAATTAACACATTCCAATCAAGAATATCTACTATCATTAGGATTCAGATTGAAAAGAAAGAAGTTACAAAATTAAGAAAGTTCAGAAATTTTGGCTAAACTTTAAGCTACGTCTTAGAACCAGTTTAACTAATTTTCTGGTTTATTGTAATTGTAAATTCAAGTGTACCAGTAAAAATGAGTTATAACATCTTAAAAGTTAATGAAAGTGTTACACAAGATGACTCAATAGTGAGTTATCAGTATCATACTCATCAACCCTATTCATCTACAACATTAAACAACAACGATGAAATTAGAACTCAATACAAACTCTCAAGATCTGTATACTTTACCAAGCCAGAGTTACCTCTATGCCAGAAGGAAAATTAACAAAATCTGACAACAGTAAGTGCTGATGCACACCTAGAATAATGGTGTTGTTTCTTTTGTTTGATGAAATTCGCTATGAAAATGGGAGGAGTGATTGCTGATAGAGTTAGAAACTCAAGTTACATCAACTGGCGAAAGGTTATATTTCATTTACTCCACAGAGGCTAACGGTTTACATAACGCCGGGTGGCATGATACGTTAATCCATCATTAATCGATGGCAATGAAATTTTAAATGTTTGTAATAAATTACTGAAAAATGCTGATGGGTTTTGCTGAAGACTATCATAAAAATTGTAATGAATGTAAACAAGAACTAGTTCTAATACGAAATAATTCTGATTTTAATGAAGTTAGTCTATCCGATAATGAAAGAAAGGGATAGTTTACATAAGATCACTTTGAATAAAGTGTTGAAAATGCCTCATATCAGTTAATGATAGTCAAAAAATTACGATTAATACTTCAAAAAAATTTTGGCAAAACAATAGAGACTTCTACTGATTGCCTTTAGGAGTTGGGAACCGTATGAATATCCAGAATTGTAACAAACTAAAACCATATATGGGTTGTTAAATTTGTGCAATCAGTTGAAAAACTCGTTATATTATATTATTGATTTCAAACAGATGTAAAAAAAAATCATATAACAAAAAAATATGAGTCGATTTCTAACATTGTAACTCTTGACCAATTTAAAAGTATATTTAAACTGTATATATCCTTAAGGACAATTTAAAATACAGATTTTACTAATAATAGATATGCAGTCCCATATGAAATATATAATTAATTCCAAAAAATCATACTACCAAGTAAAGTTTAGTGAACTAACCTACTATCCCATTCTGTTCAAGAACAACAAATTCTGGGGGTCATTGATTGTTCACGTCAAGGAGAAGATATTTTAAAGGGTGGTGCAGTCGATATTCTGCATTGGTTTGAAACAGGTGAAATAATGCCCAAGCCAAAAACTATCAGACATTGTTTAATTTTACATGATAAATTAGTAAAATATTAACCCACTAACAAGCACTGTAAGAGTGCTTTTAAAACTAAAACAAAAAGTCAATCGTTCGTAGTCAGTCTAAGCATGAATAGACATATATCATCATCGCTATTCAAAATGTTTATTATTAATATACAAGGCTTCAGTATTGGATTGAGAAATTTTAATTGTCAAGAATTAGCAATAGTCAACGTGTTGATGACACAATGGACATAAAAGTGTTAACATAAAATTTATAGTTATCCATTTGAATTGGAAACAATGCATCCAAAGGTTAGAAATCATATGGACTGGGTTAACTTGCACTTTACATGGCTTTAGAATCTTGATATTATTTTATATGAAGAAGAAGGAAAACAAGCTCATATGAAGATATTTCAAATTTCCATTAAAAAACATGCATGTTCAGAAGTTGTTGCTGTTAAAGGAGCAGAAAAGAAGCAAATGGTTGGAAAAAATTTACAGGATAATGAAATAATTGATTTACATATAGAAAGATGTCCATCATTTGATCAATTAAAATGTATTCAAATCTTATCATTGTTTAAAACATTTAAATAGTTCTTTGTATTGTGCAGTTGGAAAATGCATATTTCCTATTTTATTGGTGGTATACTCATTAAAAAGTAAAACTTTTAAATAAACATTGAAAATAATAATAATGTATTTTTATTTTAGCAAAAATATAGATAGACTATAATAATATCTATAATGATAAAACGGTGTATTTCGTCCCTCGTAACTCCTCAAGCCAGCATCTTCATCAAACCTCTATTAATTTTTGTTGTTTCGTTATGATGATGTTGGGTAAAACCCATTCTGTTCCCTCCAAAAATTTTATCTTTTTATGTTCTAATTCTGTAATCTCCATCAGAAGTGGTGGTGGTGGTGTGAAGACTCTCATTTTGACTTGTTGTATTCTCTCCTCAATAGAAGGGTAAAAATTTACATTGAAAAATTCCTTCATGCCTTGTAGTGGGAATAGCGTTGCAGTTCTGTTTCATCTTCTGCTACCACCCTGATATACTGTGCAGCGGTAATTTTATTTTTCCTTCAACTGTTGTATTTTGGTGAATCATGATAGATATAAATGTACTTCCCTACCATTTACCACTTTCACCTCTTCAACCCATATCTAAATGTACAAAAAAATATTTATAGAAAAACAATAAATGAATAAATAAAAAAAAAAAACAACTACTATGAAAAATAAACTTATGTGAAAAAAAAAAAAAAACAATAGGTTTACTTTTAAATAAATTTTTCAAAAACAACCAACAATGAAGTTGGCAGTCTCTTTTCTAGGGCTTTCTCAAAAATAAATATCCAAGGAGTATTCATCTTAGAGCAAGCTTGACTATAATGCAGCATATAATTTTCTGCCTTTATATATATTTTAAAACAAAGAAAAAATATATGACACGATATGAATAATAAGTTGTTTACAGGATACGCAGATTTAGAACATGTATCTATATAAATCAAAACAAATCCAAAAATTATTAAAAAATGCATACAAAGTAATAAATTAATAATATGCAATATCATTTTGTTAAAAACAATGAGTATGTAAATTAAAGATAAATTATTAAAAAAATATATACAAACTAATAAATTAATCACATGCAATATATATTTGTTATTAAAAACAATAATTATGCTTATTTTGCAATCTAATGATTATAATTTTATTGTACATACATCTGCCTAGTCTGTAAAAAATTGTAATGTAAACGATATTCAAATTATAAAACCAAGTTCCCACACGCTTGTAATACTGGAAAAACAAATTAATGATTCTTGGAATATTTCTAATAATTTTAAACAAAACAAAACAAGGGTGTGTTAAATTAATTTTATTATTTTATGAAAAACAATTTATCTAATAAAGT